ACGTTGCCGTCCGTTGAGAGCTGTGACAGAAAATGGATGATGGTCCGCGCAGAACTGAAGAAGTTGATCGCCGCTATCAGTTCGTTGGCTCGGCAGCGCACAACTACCGCCAAGGCAAGATTCTGATGCGCCCCGTTTTCCAGCCTGCGCGTAGAAATCACCTGAAAGTACACCTATGTCGGAGCATTGACACATCCAAATGGGACCGGCGAGTTCGTCGTAGAAGACATCCTTTTGGGTATCAGAACTGCAAATGATCGGTGCATATTCTGATACGATGGACAAACACCTTTTGGTGTTGCATCCCTACCGGACGCTGATTTATCTCTGAAGACGCACTGCACAGAAGCGACTGTTGACAAAGATCCAATAGAAAAGAAAGGACTCCGCCCTGTTGCTGAGTACAATATCTATCCCGTGCTGACCCACTGAGCGGGCTTCGTCGTCGCGTAATGTGCGAAGGAAATACCTCGAGGACAGAGCCGGCACACTCAGGTGGCTTACAATACTAGGATCCTGAAGTCATGTTTCCTATACGCAACAGGAATCGACTTCTGGAGACCTCTTGTACGCGCAAGAGACGCTTGTTTACCCACCGGTATCAGGGTCCTCACGTTGAAGGCCCCCAGATTCAGTGATTGACGAGGCTTTAGAATGTGCCCTTTATTTACAGGAAAATTAGTTACAGCGGCATTTGGCAACGACCTTTCACGCGTGAAGACCAAGTTATCTGAGGGAATGTCACGGGTCGGAAGAAGTGATAAAGGGATAGGGTTGGGTGTGGAAGATAAAGAGTTGGGATATCTGAACAGTAGCCCGTTTACCAATACCCACCCAGATCGATGTAATGAGCAGCGCGGTCCTGTTTATCGTGCGCGACGACCGATGCAGTATGAAATTATTTTCTGCTTGTGTTCATTGGAGCTTTATGGACCGGTACTGCTAGGGTGTCCAGCCACTAAGCAGGAGAACGATTAGGGTTCTCGTCCAAAGCCTTTAGTTCTAACAAGAACCTAACCACAAGTCAGCGGTTAAGGCGGATTGGAAGCCCATTAAATTGGATCAATCATTCTTCCAAAACGTTTTACCTACTGAGACGCCAACTCAAGTAGAACCCCCAACCTGGAGGACCAGGAGACTGGACTTGGTCTGACCTCCACCCATTGACCTTCTAGACACGATTAGATATTTGGCTCGACAAAAACCATCCTGTGTAGCTCGTTGGGTTACAGAGATTCACGAGCCATCACACCACGTCGAGCTGCAGTCTGGTTGCGAAATACTCCCATACGACAAAGGGTCTCAAATAGCCTCTGCTGAGGAAGTCCTACACACTGTCTTCTCGTGGCGGACGTGTTTGCCCATCAAAGTGAGAGGACGAGAAGCCGATATCCGGGGCTATTATGGGGTTGGTGGACCACTGGTAGTTCGCCCAGGGTAGTTGGCCAAAACCTTGATTCCAAACCAACCATGAGGAAACGTAAGAACCACACACACACACTTTCTTGGTTGTAGCAGTGGCCGGCAAGGTATTCAGTTAATCTGAAGCTCCGAGATAGTTGTACTCGTAGGTGATTTTAACTCCCTGTTTGGAAAACTGAGTGCATCAAAAGCTTCCTTTGGCGATTGCTGTGCTCCGCCCCGTCAACAAACAGATAACGGCGATCAAATTCTTCAGTTCTGGGCAGATTACTATCTGTTCTTATCCAGTAGTAAATTCCGATGCAGCTTCCAACGGATGACGAGGCGCTTTAACTCAAATGGCACACTAACTCAATCTGAGCACATAGCAATAAGCTACTGTTGGAATCACTCAGTAAAAAGCTGTAGGTTGTGGTGGACCATCTGTGTTGAGCCTGATCACATTAATTTTGATACAATTCACTTTCCCACTCACTAATCACTAACAGAAGCAGAAAACTTGATAAGCACATTACTAATCTGACATCCGTTCGTACTCAGTATGAATCAGAACTAGCGCATAAGCCAAGCACACTGCAGCATAGTGATGTAGATAAACAACGGGATTAAATGAGACGAGGGATGCACCCAGCGACTAATATTGCTTGTGAATGAGGTTCAATCCCGTTTGAGGCATTGGATAGCTGATGAATCAGTAGGCCGGATGGAGAAAAACGACCATTCCGACCATCCAGGATCAAAACAGGGTTAGGTGATGTTGCAGCGTTAGCTGACGAAGAACCTTAAGGGGAACAGTGAATGTGTGAAGCTGCAAGATACAGTGTAGCAACTATGCAAATATCCGTTGTGCGACAATTTATAGTGTGTTTGATAGTTTCGAATTAGTAAAAGTGCTCTTTTGTAATCCTGTTATTATTCTACTTTTATTTAACATATAATGATGCAAACAGTTTTCAAGAATGGGAATGCGGCTCATCCAAGGGTTGTGACACAATACATGGAAAATCGAGAAACATGCGGCGTGGTGGGATTCGAACACAACCCTCAGTGTGCTAGTAGGTGACTTTATCCATTTAATTCATTAATAAATATTGAAAAGTATTACTCTGAGTCTTCTTGCTTTTTAGGCAATTAATACAGGAAAACTGAAAATATTGGGATTTTATTTAAATGGAATCACAGATAAGGTTGTGTAAGAAGTGGAGTAGAGGAAATGACGTAAGAAAAGTATGAATGCCAATGCATTCAACACACACTTCAGAAACAGTTTTAGTGTAATTCATGTAAAAATCAACCTTAGACGATGGAACGATTTGTGATGACCGACAAAGAGTACTGGATACCTATTTTATGCTTTTTAGGACTCGTTAGTAGTGCATACATTACTTTGTCCCTGTCAGGAATCGAACAGCGGACATTCGGATCAGAACTTCAAACCCTCACCAACAGTGCTTGTGAACAAACGAATGGATTGCTAATCTGCTACTATCACGCTCTCGCCTTTTCTTGGATTTTTTCATCTCTTAGCTATTTGGATCGAGAAGTACAGGCGAAATGAAGAAGTACCACGATAAAGATGCTGAATGCTGTTAACCTAAATTTGCGAAGACATTCAGTGGGTACACGATTTTCACTTGCGATACTGGATGAATTTATTTGAACAGCCCTTTTCAGAGCCAGTTTGTTTACAAATCGATGCTATGATTTGATCTTTTGTAGATGGTTCTAGCAGCAAACCACATGGCTCGAGTGTCACTTTGGAATATTTCGCAATAAGTTTATCTCCAAGGAAATTTTGTCAAGGTATTCATATACCGCTTATTGTAATATATATATATATATATATATATATATCGGTATACACGCCACCGACGGACAAAGTCAAGTTACGGTTGAGGTCGAACCCTTGGAGCACTGGGTATGCTAGTACCAAAGATAAAAACCCTTATCGGATACCATCATCTGAGTATTGCTTTCGAAATATCTGACTGTTAGCTTGCTATGCAAAGAATCTCATAACCGTAAAATGTAGAGGCTGCATACTCACTTGATATAGTCATGGGCCAACGAAAGCAGCTCATCCATCGTCATCGGGGAAATGAATTTGGTATACAAAGAGTCACCCATATCTTTCATGGCCATGATAGAAGCCATACTTGATACAGCGACAACTCTATCACTCCATATATATGTAAATAAAGTGAACCAACCGAGCATCTTTAGCAAGATATGGCATAAACTCCTCGGTGAAACTAAGTGTATCAAAGAAATTAGTTTTTAGCGTCACACGAGCTTGTTCACCAAAGGATGCAGTTGAATCGCTCTATTGAACAATAAAACCAATGGGGAAATCACATACCTTGAATATAATTCCAGCGTTGTTGATCGCAATGTTGATTCCATTTGGATAATGAGAAGTTAGAAATTCGATGAACTTCTTCCGACTCTCGACATTATTGATATCCAATTGATGAAATTTTACACTCAGTCCTTTCTTTTCAAGTTCGGAGCAAGTCTTTTTTCCAAGTTCCTCGTTTCGAGCTACAATTGGCACATTGGGCAAATCACGCGACAACATACCCGTCAAATAAATATCCCATTCGCCAGACGGTCCCAATGTACGAGCAAGATTCTCTACGATCGCTCTTCCGATTCCTTTGTTCGAACCGGTAACCTTTTCATATAATTTAATTTCAAGTAGTCGGGACTTACGAAAGCGACCTTCATTGTTCAATTGCTTAAATAAACAGGCTGTAAGTTAGAAAAATAATTTACGTTAAATTTATTCTCCAGCTAATCCAAAAAGAGCTTGTCTATCAAGTTGCCCAGAAAATAGAAAAAAAATGACTAGTTATGAAAGGTAACCACGATCGCTCAATGAATTAAATTTAAATCAGTGTACACTTGTGTCGCTGTAAGTTACTTATCTGATAACAGTTAAAGTAGATTTATTAGAGGATGGAGTATACAGTTTGACAGGAATGTACGTTCAAAGCTCTTAAAATGGAAGTGGATGAGTATGCATTTTATCAATCTAGTGTGTACAGCGAAACCAAACCCCAGAATCAAACGGGAAAAATATTCAAGTTTGGAAACTAGTAACAAAATATATGGTTTGTAGCTGTGTTTAACATAAGGTTTATATAAGCTATGCGTAGAGATGAGTTGAGGAACAGAGCTGCTTGCTACCGAAGTTGAGTTGCGGTGCTACGGTTTATTCTTCAAACACTGGGAGCACCAACAACAGTGATTTAAACTGATCCTCCACAAAACAACACAAATTTTTTCACGGAATTACAGATATCTAGAATTTGGTGAGGAGTAACAGGTTGATGAAGAACATAAATATAATGATCTGACGGGTAGACTGTGTACTTTCGGTAATACGTAACAGAAGCAGTAACATTTACACCGTTAGTAATGGTCTTAGTAAATGCTACTGAGCGCATCGTGATCACCACCCCCATCGTACAGCAAAGGGAACATTGCTCATTGTTGCAAAATTGTACTACACCTAGTAGAAATGTTCATTCATGGCAGACGGAGGGTGGAGCTGAATTTTGGGAGAGACAATCGAAGGCAACTTTCATGGTTACCGCGTAGAGTATACAGTCAAACTTTGATCTAACAAAATGTGAACAAAAACACCAGTGTTGTCGGTAAGCTGCCGCGTCCTTTAGAGTCTCCAAAGATCTAGTTATAGAACCTTTTGGATCGCATATCTGAAGTAAGAGACGTCTACTCTACCTATGTGCTGTCGCTATGTCTCGTCTATTAACAGGCCCATGAGTCTGACTCCAGTAGCGCCAAAGCTGTTACCGCCCGTTTTATATTGCAGATTTAGCCCCAATCAAGAGAGCCAAATATCCTAAGATCAGACCGGGTTTCGTACATGCCGTGACTGCAAATCTGTCCTTCGGCAGTGGCTCGAATACCACCACACATAAAGGCGATGAACTACTGTTGTGTTCTTGGACATCAGAGTGGCCTAAGACAAGGTGGAATTCTGTGCTGAGATACGGAGCACTCGAAAAGTATATCCTGCTTCTGAAATCACTACCACCAGACCTCCGTGATACGTCCTGCGGGTGAGATATAGTTGCCCAAATAACAAAACTTATCCTTTTGCTCTATTACTTCCCCAGTTAGAGTGAGGCTGATTGCTTGACCAACCCAGTCTTGTAGCACCATATCACATTTCGAAGGTGCTAAGCGATACTTTGAGTGTCGCTGGGACCTGTTTTGAAACTAGTTGGAGTTGACTACTTCTCGTACTTGGGTAGTTAAGCGTTTATCGACGTCAGTGCATCAGGCCACAGGCTAAGGAAAACCATGTGGAAGTCAAAAGGCAATGTGGAGAAGTTGATTTCAATATTACAATCACTTTATACTAATAGTCCAAGCCGAGTCCGACCTTACAGCATCTTTTCGCTCGAGTTCACCACGGAAAGTGATGATCGACAGGGTTGCCCTCCCTCCGTTTCTATATAACTTCGTGAAAGATATAATTTTTAAAACAACCCTATCCTCGTGCGAGGATAGCAGTATCGATTTACTCCCAGGTATCAGGCTGTCTGGTCTAGAGTATGCAGATAGCACGGTACTACTAAGTGGAGATCCAAGTAAGTTGCAAGCTTTTCTGGATAGTTTGAATGCTAGTGTTGCCATGTTCGGTATGCGTTTTGCACCTTCAAAGTGTACCATGTTACTGCAAGATTGGATTGGTCCAGTAGTCAATCTCACCCAGACTGGAGTAGTAGAGGAAGTAGACAATTTCGCTATCTGTGCAGCTATATCTCACCTGGCGGAAGCATCACAGATGAAGTGTCGATGCGCACGCAAAAGGCTTGGTTGGCATTTNATTTGCCAACTTGAGACATCTGTGGCGCCGTCCCGACATCCGGCTGTCTGTGAAGGGCCGAGTATGTGCTGCCGTAATTCGGCCGGTTCTGCTTTACGGTGCAGACTTGGCCGCTACGGGAACAGGATAAAAATAGATTGTCGGTGTTCGAATACCGCTGTCTACGTCGCATTCCGCGAGTTTGCTGGGGTAACCGGACGGACAATGCTGAGGTTAGGTGTAGAGGTTTAGGTAGTCGCGGTCTTCCACTGGAGCAAGTGATGGACCTCCATAGATTACGTTGGTGGGGCATGTGTTACGCGTGTCACCACATAGCTTGCAACGGCCAGCGCTGTTTGCCGAGGCAGAGGTTGGGAAAAGGTCAAGGGTGGTCAAGCTAAGACCTAGCACGATGGTATGAAAACACTAACCAGGAGACTGGATCACATAGGCCCCGTTAGACTCCCTGACCTGAGACCCCGGGATGATGGTCATAGATGGTTGGAGTGATATGGCTGGATGTCGCAAACAGTGGCGCTCGTACATCCACTCATTATTCCCCTAACACCATTCATTCCGCTTGAATTTGCTTTCAACATTCCAATCTTCACTGTGCTCTTTTATCCGAACGGTGCACCAAAACCGGCGCACGAAAGTGCGTAGTTAATCGTTTTAAAAACTGAACTGAACTGGAGAAGAAGCGATCGAGTAGAGTAGGTGACCCTCGTTTTCCGAGTTCGGGTCCAAAAGACTGCATAACTGAATGATTGGAGACAATGTTGTGGCATAAAACCGATAGCAGTGGCGTTCTCGTTGTCACCTCTTGTCGGACCAGAATGCTTGAAAACATGTGTACACAGTTGCACTGTGTTGATCATAGAGGTTCGCTATCTTTCCCGGTCTATAAACGTAGGTACAATCTGCACCCTCCTTACACGTTCCAACGTAAGTTATAAACTCTACGGAGTTTGACCGCAATCAGTAAAGTTCGCTCCACCGTAGTCCGATGTACAATGATCACGATCGCGCCTATAGTTTCGTTCAATTGCAAAGGCTTGGGAGGTACTAGCACATTCCATCACGACGAGACTGCAGCTCGACGTGGTGTGATGGCTCGTGAATCTCTGTAACCCAACGAGCTACACAGGATGGTTTTTGTCGAGCCAAATATCTAATCGTGTCTAGAAGGTCAATGGGTGGAGGTCAGACCAAGTCCAGTCTCCTGGTCCTCCAGGTTGGGGGTTCTACTTGAGTTGGCGTCTCAGTAGGTAAAACGTTTTGGAAGAATGATTGATCCAATTTAATGGGCTTCCAATCCGCCTTAACCGCTGACTTGTGGTTAGGTTCTTGTTAGAACTAAAGGCTTTGGACGAGAACCCTAATCGTTCTCCTGCTTAGTGGCTGGACACCCTAGCAGTACCGGTCCATAAAGCTCCAATGAACACAAGCAGAAAATAATTTCATACTGCATCGGTCGTCGCGCACGATAAACAGGACCGCGCTGCTCATTACATCGATCTGGGTGGGTATTGGTAAACGGGCTACTGTTCAGATATCCCAACTCTTTATCTTCCACACCCAACCCTATCCCTTTATCACTTCTTCCGACCCGTGACATTCCCTCAGATAACTTGGTCTTCACGCGTGAAAGGTCGTTGCCAAATGCCGCTGTAACTAATTTTCCTGTAAATAAAGGGCACATTCTAAAGCCTCGTCAATCACTGAATCTGGGGGCCTTCAACGTGAGGACCCTGATACCGGTGGGTAAACAAGCGTCTCTTGCGCGTACAAGAGGTCTCCAGAAGTCGATTCCTGTTGCGTATAGGAAACATGACTTCAGGATCCTAGTATTGTAAGCCACCTGAGTGTGCCGGCTCTGTCCTCGAGGTACTTCCTTCGCACATTACGCGACGACGAAGCCCGCTCAGTGGGTCAGCACGGGATAGATATTGTACTCAGCAACAGGGCGGAGTCCTTTCTTTTCTATTGGATCTTTGTCAACAGTCGCTTCTGTGCAGTGCGTCTTCAGAGATAAATCAGCGTCCGGTAGGGATGCAACACCAAAAGGTGTTTGTCCATCGTATCAGAATATGCACCGATCATTTGCAGTTCTGATACCCAAAAGGATGTCTTCTACGACGAACTCGCCGGTCCCATTTGGATGTGTCAATGCTCCGACATAGGTGTACTTTCAGGTGATTTCTACGCGCAGGCTGGAAAACGGGGCGCATCAGAATCTTGCCTTGGCGGTAGTTGTGCGCTGCCGAGCCAACGAACTGATAGCGGCGATCAACTTCTTCAGTTCTGCGCGGACCATCATCCATTTTCTGTCACAGCTCTCAACGGACGGCAACGTGGCGCGCCAGTTCAACTGGTACGATAACTCAAATCGACCACATAGCAGTAAGTTATCGTTGGCGTGACCCAGTGCAAAATTGCAGGTCCAATTGGACCACCTGCGTTGAGTCTGACCACGCATTAGTTGTGATGCAGTTCAATCTTCGACTGACTGCCCGGCGAAGAACTCAGCAAACTTGTACAGCTCATCATCGACTATCTGTTCCAGCAGTTTATGCACTCTGTGAGTCTGAGCTAGTGCGTGAGCTAAGCGCACCTCAAAATGGTGATCTAGATGGGCAGTGGGATCGGATTAGGCGAGCAATGCATTCCGCAGTGAATATTACTTGTGGGTCTGAGCCTCAAGCGCGTCGGAGGCATTGGATATCTCAGGAGTCAGTAGCCCTGATGATGAAAAAACGACAAATCCCGAACTACCAGGATCAAAATAGAGTTAGGTGGCATCGAAAACGTCAACTCGCGAAGAGCCTCAAGAAGGATCGGGAGAACTGTTGGGCGACAATAGCTAGTGGAATGGAAGTAGCGGCTG